TCGGGAGTCTAGAAATATTTGCCTTCATGAAGAAAAATGTAGGTTGAAAATGATCATACTTTAAGCCTTTGATTTGCCTAAAAGGAAATCCTCTAGCCCAGAGTGAAGGTAGCTATTCTTCCAAGGGTAAAATATGAAGACCAAATGTTAAATAGACTCAAAAGTGATATTGGAATTGGTTAGGAGGAACTTCTTGATATTAGAAATAATTTGAGGCTAGAATGCTTTAAAAGGTAAGTTTCAAAAGCTTCTTTGAAGATTATATTTAGGTTGAAAACAAAATTTTTAAAGGAGACATTTTCCATTTATTAACCCTGAAGACTAAGAGGCCACAAATCTACAATGATATAAATATGAAGAGTTTCATGAACAACAACAACAAAAAATCAAGTCACAGAAAACTGAATTTGTAGTGTATCCCTTAAAGCTTGAAAGTCTTTTAGGTCTTTTTAGGGCAAATAAAAGTTTTATTATTCATTAAACTGCTTCTCAAGGAGCAGACGACATAGAAACCTATATTTAATAGTGTTTTTCTGAGTGAATAAATGAATGGATGGATCATTGGCTCTTGATCCATTACCATGAAAGGTTAAATCTGATACCATGTAGGGTAGCTGTCTATAAGTTTTTCTCATACCTGAAATTGCAGTATGCCAAATTCATTTTAGTGAACTATCTGCATTATGCTATCATTCGACTATTTAAAAGAATGATGTTAGTGCCAAAAAAGAAATTTTAAATATTGAGTAGTGGAACATGGAATTAAATTGGTTTTCCAGTGTAGCACTTTGTGATAGCTTTCCCAATCCAAATTTATCTTCAGTTAAGACATCAAGTGTAAACAAAAAAGAGTCAGAATTAAGGACACAACCTAGCAAATTTGGGTAGTTACTAAGAAAAACATGATATCCTCTTATCTTGCAGGCAAAATGGATCTGATTCCCGGTTTACCATTATTCTTGATCGAAGATTGGATACGTGGTCTTCTCTCAAAATTTCTCTCCAGAAAATCTCAGTAAGCACCAATGCATTCTACTGTAACTTTTTATTTTTATTTTACATGATACTTTCTGTTTGTGGGAGTGCAGAATATTTTGATACTAGACAATGAAGACAATAAAAGTGATGGAAACAACGATGGAAACAATAAAAAAAGATGAGATGGTGAGATGAGAAAGTGGGAAGAAGCGTTGATAGAGGAGATTGAGCTAAACAACTCATCCAAAATAAAACATAATGGGAAAGAATGAGTACTTAGTGGTTCAAGGGATGAGTGAGAAGAGACTCATGGTTCCCTATGCCTTTCAGAGCAAGGCAAATTTTATGGAAATAGCTCTATTGTATACTTACTCTATATGGAAAAGTATAAAAAAGAAAGTTTAAAGCAATAATTGGTAATTCAACCATCCATAAATAAAACACTTTTAAACATTTTGATATATGTCTTTCTAGACATTTCTTCCCCTAAGATAGAGTAGGGAAGTGACTCAACTGCAATATGACTTATCTCCCCTTTCAGAATCTAGCCCCCAGCTTCCCAAGACCTAGATAAAGAAAACCGTTTCCCTAAGAGAAAAATATGAGAGCTGCCACCCTGCACATAGCCAAGGTGATCTTTCAGATTATTAGGCTCATCTGGATTACAGTGGCATTATCTGACACTTCTTCATAGAAGAGGAGGGAGGTGAGGAACCCATATATTACTGAGCTGGCAAGATTGGGGCTGTCTGTAGAGGTACCATGGGGCTAACTTCCTCTGTCAGAGCAGAGTAGCCCGGAATCAATGTATTTTTTTCTTTGCAAGTCCAACATCATCAATCATCAGAAATTCTTTGTCTCCTGACTGACACGGGAGGCCGCTCTCACCAGAGGAAGTTGATTTAGTTGCGAAGGCAAGACAGAAATCTAGGTTGTTGGACTTCTGAGCCAGTGGTCTTTTTGCTATACTAACCTAGCTAACGGGCATAAGAAATAGACTGGCACTCACGTGGTAAAATGTATGAGATCATTATTTTCATACCCAGCTTGGATTGTTCTTCATCTTGAGCAAATCAGCAAAGTGGTTTTTTTGTTTATGTCTTTAACAGAAGTGTGTAATGATAAGCAATGGAGAGAAGAGCGAACACCAAATTTACACAAGTTTCTAAAATAAAATAGCAAAACCTTGACTTCATCTAATATGCTTTTGCTTTTTCAAAAGTGTTCACTTTTATTAATGTTGATTCTATTTCCTGATTAAGTCCTGCAGGTGGGTATTATTATAATTGTCTTATAAATGAGGGAATTACATTAATATACACACTTGGGGGAAGGTTTTGTGATGGATCCAAGGTCAAATAGCTCAGTAACAAAAAGAGGCGGGGCAAGAATTGAATTTTCATGAACTTCAGTTGGTGCACTTCCCACCTGCTGCTTTCTTTTTTCTTTCTTTTTTTTTTTTTTTACCTGCTGCTTTCTATCCTTTTCCAAATGACTTGTGGATAGACAAATACATACAGTGTTTTTCAGAAAAAAAGTAAAATCCCTTTGGAGAGAGCAAATCTGTCCAGGATGTACCGTTGAGCCCTGTCAATGGGGCAAAGTTAAGTAAAAGCTATTTACCTTGCTCTGGACTTTTAAGATCCATCCTTGGGCTTATTGAGATTTCAGTTTATGATTCTTCTATACTAAATATATAACACTTGTGAGAATAAAACCTTCCTTATTACACAGCCCAGCTTTTTTCTTTTGGCCAAAACTATCTGCTTGATTAAATTAATTTTCATTGAGTGACTGTTTGGCACATGGCATTAGTATTTGTTAAGGTCTTATTTTTATTAATCAAATAGGCCGCTTGGAGCAGGTCTTCTTTTTTCTTATTTTTAAAAATATTTTATTTATTTATTCATGAGAAACACAGAGAGGGGGAGAGAGAGAGAGGCAGAGACACAGGCAGAAGGAGAAGCAGGCTCCATGGCAGGGAGCCCGACGTGGGACTCAATCTCGGGTCTCCAGGATCACACCCTGGGCCAAAGGCAGCACTAAACCGCTGAGCCACCCGGGCTGCCCAGGTCTTATTTTTTCTAAAAGCAAAATAGAAGATTTGGTCTTGATCCTACTGATTGGGGGTCAACAGAGCAATGATGATTTGTTTCTTGGGAGGCAAAGCTCAACTTTCTGTTTCCCTAGGGATGGTCTTTTTTTTTTTTTTTAAAGATTTTATTTATTCGTGAGAGACAGACAGAGAGAGGCAGAGACACAGGCAGAGAGAGAAGCAGGGTCCATGAAGGAGCCCGATGCATGACTCAGTCCTGGACCCCAGGATCATGCCCTGAGCTGAAGACAGATGCTCCACTGCTGATCCACCCAGGCATCTCTCCCCAGGGATGGTCTTTCAGTGGGAAAGTATGAACCATGTTCATCATAGAGCTTGACACTCAGGGTCCTTTCATTGTCTTAACTGCCAAATCGATGGTGCTAAGCAAGATTGGGGTCACCATTGATGATGACATGTAACGAGTGTTTCTTTTTAGCATGTAAAATGTTTCTACTTGTGGTATAGTTTCAATACTCGTACTCCAGCACATCGATTACACTTCAACCAATGCTAGCCATTAGGCAGTGTTTGCGTTAAAGATAAATTCTTAAAAATTTTTTAAAAGATTTTATTTATTTATGAGAGACACCGAGAGAGAGAGGCGGAGACATAGGTAGAGGGAGAAGCAGGCTGCCTGTGGGACTCGATCCCAGGACCCTGGGATCACGACCTGAGCCAAAGGCAGGCACTTAACCACTGAGCCACTCAGGTGTCCCAGTATTAAAGATAAATATTGAATGCAAGCAAATTTCAAGGGCAAAAGTCGTATTCAGAAAGGATTTCTGGTATAAAGTGCTGTTGTGTAGATAGATGTAACTGTCTTTGGTATATTACTTTAAACAATTATCTTTAAAATAATCATACAACTCAATTTAAAGACCTTAATTCGTAAATTCCAAAACAAACTATGCAGTTGGGTTACACTTTGTAATAAATGATGGGAAACAAGATTTTGTTTTACAAAGTTTCAATTTCTTTTCTTTTCTTTTTTTCTTTTTATAAATTTATTTTTTATTGGTGTTCAATTTGCCAACATATAGAATAACACCCAGTGCTCATCCCATCAAGTTTCAATTTATTTCAGAGCCAGAAAAAACGCAAGCAGGGGCAGGGGTAGAGGGGGAGGGAGAAGAAGAGCAAAAGAATCCCAAGCAAACTGGGCTGAGCCCAAGCCCCAGGTAGGGCTCAGTCCCAGGACCCTGAGATCATGACTTGAGCTGCTGAAGCCAAGAGACTGCCGTTCAACGAACTGAGCCACCCAGGAGCCCCAGGAGACAAGATTTTTTTTTTTTTTCAGTTCTACAATTTGGGGAAATGTCCATTTGGGAGAGAATCCTATCCATATTAGAAAGTTTGTGTGTTCTTTCTCGATCATTATCAAAATCTCACAATATCAACCTTCCACAAGGCTTAAACTCTGAATTAACAATTAACAACCACCAAAAAAAAAAAAAAAAAAAAAACCCAAACCAAATCCTGAAGTGAATTTTAAGTTCCCAATCAGGGTAGGACCAGAATAAAGATATGGGTTAATACTACCTTCACAAAGATTCTCAGCATTCCACCTTAAAAATCAAACTGCACAGAGGAGAAAGCCAGTCCCATCAAGCTCCTAGGAGGAGAGTCCTATGTGTGTGTGTGTGTATTTTTTTTTTTCCTTTTCCTTCCTTCACTCGTAGGACGGGCCCGATCTTCTGGATCTTCTCTCCAGCAGCCCTGCACGAGCTAGTCTCCGAGGTGCAATCTGGCTAAGCAGTCGGGGGACCGTGTCAAGTCTGAATGACAATGAGCAGCCGGGAAGGCTCGGTCAGCTGACTAATCAGGGAGAGTGGGGTTTTTGCAGCGCTGCCACGGTGGTAATGGAAGCAGCTCCGGGAGCTTTGTTTGATAGAGATTTTTGGCTGCCGCTTTTAGATACGACCCAAGAAGCAGCTCGTATTTCATCAATGTCGCGTTGACAATTGGAAAAGAAGAGTGTTCTTGTGTATAGGCGAGATGGCAGAGGCAACTCCCCCGAGAGGCAAGATGAGGTTCAGGAGGAATGCGGTAAGGGCTCTGCCTGCAGTCCTGGAAAGCCGACATCCCCAAGTTCAAGTGCAGGGATGCTGCAGCATATGGTGCTATAGCGCACACCGATGCTGCACGGGGCTTTTAAGGACAGATGGAGGGAATGGAGACTGGTATTTGCATGAATTGCATTGATGCGATGACTGTGGTATTGACCGGGAAACGTAAAGGAGTCAAGGAGGTTGAATGTGATCTCGGAATCTAAATGTGGTCGGGTGGATGAGGAAGCCTCTTTAGCCCTGTTATTTGTTTAAGACCATATGAACAGTCTTGAATCGTTTGGCAGAGCAGCTTTAAGCCACCAGCGAAAATAATCTCTAACAAAGAGACGCCTGCTTTCTTTCACCATGGTCAAGTAGGGTATGAGATCATGGACAGTTCTGGAGGCGACTTCATCAGCATCTGAAAAGGCAGCCCTTCCTGAGTGTTCCTGGGTGTTCAAGTGAAACATTTTAAGTGGGATGATTTGAAATCTTCCGGATTTCATTTGTTCTCCAGATTCAAACTTTAAAGATGCAGAATTCTAGCCTGTTGACAACTTTTTTTTAAGGGGGGGGGGAAGTGGCCCGCTTTTTCATTATAGACTAGAATTTAGAGATCTCTTCTTTCAGATAGATTTCAGACACTTTTAAAAAATTTTTATTTATTTATTCATGAAAAAAACACACACACACACAGAGACAGAGGGAGAAGCAGGATCCATGCAGGGAGCCCGACGTGGGACTCGATCCCGGGACTCCCTGACTCCAGGATCACGCCCTGGCCAAAGGCAGGCGCCAAACCGCTGAGCCACCCAGGGATCCCCTCAGACACTTTTTTTTTAAAGAAAGATTTTTGTTTTCATTAGACAGAGACAGGGAGAGAGCATGAGGGGCAGAGGGAGAGGGAGAAGCAGACTCCCCGCTGAGCAGGGAGCCCCGATGCGGGGCTTGATTCCAGGACCCTGGGATCATGACCTGAGCCAAAGGGAAGACACTTTTTTAAAAAAAATTTATTTATTAATGAGAGAGAGAGAGGCAGAGACAGGCAGAGGAAGAAGCAGGCTCCATGCAGGGATCAGGCCCTGGGCTGAAGGCGGTGCTAAACCACTGAGCCTCCCGGGCTGCCAGAAGGGAAGACACTTAACTATCTGAGCCACCCAGGTGCCCCTCAAACACTTTTCTAGCTAATTTTCCCTTCATTGGCTCACATGTATACTCAATTCCCAGCAAATTTCTAAAGTGATATTTAGATATATTTGGGGGACATGTGAAAGAACACTAGCTAATTTAACGACTGGTCATCAACAAAGATTTAAATTTAAACTCTTTTTCTTTGAGAACTTAAGTTACTGTTATTGATGTTATGATTTAAAACATAATACTTGCTCATTAAAAAAAAATCGAGACAACAGACACAAACATGAGAAAGTAAAAATCAGCCTTAGGAAAAAAATGACATTTGGAATGAAAAATGATAAGGGAGCTAAACCAGTTAAGAGTTTTTTGTTGTTGAATGAGGGTTGGCATCAATGGGTGAGTAAACAATTTATTTTCTAATAAAGCTTTTAGGACAGAATCATATTTTTGAGATTATAGTTTAGGGTATGGATCTTTTTATTTTGACAGAATTGTACCTGCAGCTCTACGCATGATTTTGTACTATAGGAACAAATAGTTTCAGACTTTTAGCAGACAATTTATAGTGCACAAGAAATGCCTGTGTCTGTGCTTTGCGGTATTAGGTGCAGCTGGCATTGGTACTTTTGTTGTCAAAAGTAACTGATACATGCTTTCTGAAAGTTCCTAATTCTTTTATACACATAGATCTCTCAGGGCCAAACTCAGTCTCATCTATATGCACATATGTTAATATACACACAAATAAATACAGCACACAAGTACTCACTGAATATACCCATCTAGTCTACTACTGTGTGTGCTGCACACAGTATGGATTACAAAGGTCACCATGGCATGGCTACTGAGCTGAAAGGGCTCTCAATCTAGTTTGAGAAGGTAGGACATGTTCATAAATAACTATTATGAAAGAAGTTCTAGGTGGTGAGGAAGTCTTCACGAAGATCACATTGGTTTGGACCCGAAGCAAGATCATATGTTTGTGTTACGTTTCTTTGTTTCTGTCCTCCATTTTTCTCTTAAGTGAATTACTTTAAGTGGCCCCTAAGAATACATACCTTAAGATGGAATTTATTGGATTAAGTCCACAGCCCAGAACTATAGTGGAAGATACATTTATTCTGTTTACGTGGGTAGGCTTGACCAGAGTGAAAAATGTGAAACTCACTGGTGATGCAGTGGTTTGACCTTGCGGGGTCTCTGGAGTTGGACTGATTTGGGGACTATGATAGGTAGCACCTGAGAGGATGAGACAGTGGATTTAAAGTCCCAAGAGAGGAATAAACCCGTTACTTGGTGGAAATTGCAATGACTGTGGCCATTGGGAGGGAGGGGATGAGAACAGATATGTGACAAGAAGGGCAAACCTCAAGGAAGGAGTATTGCCCAGGCCTATTCTGCCCCTGAGGTCATGGGGCAAGTTGTTGGGTGGTCTGTGGGGTAACTCATACCTCCTGTACTCTTTAAGGGTGGGGTATGGGAGGAGTGTGGAAGTAGTTCATGACATTGGTTTGAGGTCATGGGATTTTCCCCAGTGTATTCTGAGGAGCTCGGACCTTATCAAGATCAATCCCATGTCCACAACTCAACATTCTTTCTCTTGCCATATTGGATTATGATACTCTCTGTTCAGTGGGCTCCACGATGCTAAATTGTTTCCAGCCATTGGTTTTGACCATTAACATTTGTCCCATTTTGTAGATGTTAAGGTCCGGTCATTCCTAAATGTGAGGCAGCAAGTCTGAGTGTGCATTCAATCTACGTTAAGTACCTGTCCCGGAAAGTGTGACATGTCTTGGAAAGGGCTTCCCCTTAGGATTCACGTAGGCCCGAGGGCCACAACTCACTAGCTCAAATGTTGGTTCCTGCCCCACTCCATGCTTCAGTTTGCTCATGTGTAAAAAGACCACAAGGGAACCCTGGGTGGCGCAGCGGTTTAGCGCCTGCCTTTGGCCCAGGGCGCGATCCTGGAGACCTGGGATCGAGTCCCACGTCAGGCTCCCGGTGCGTGGAGCCTGCTTCTCCCTCTGCCTGTGTCTCTGCCTCTCTCTCTCTCTCTCTGTGTGTGTGTGTGTGTGTGTGACTATCATAAATAATTTTTAAAAGATTAAAAAAAATAAAAAGACCACAAATACCTACCTCACTGCAATGTTACCAAGGCTACGTAGGACAATATACATCTCAAGCCTGGCACGTATGCCCTAGGCTTTCAGTCAATGGTTCCCTCTGACTGTTACTGCATTTTCTTGCCCTAAAGATGAAAGAAAGAAAGAAAAGAAAGAAAGAAAGAAAGAAAGAAAGAAAGAAAGAAAGAAAGAAAAGAGAAAGTCTGTGGTCATATAAGTTGTTTTATAGTAAAGGAACTGAACTTTTATTATGATGTATAAAACATTTTGAAAGAAATAACTAGAATAACGGACAAGTGTGTAGGGCATATGAGTTGCTTCCCTTAGATATGACACAAAGGAGTTAAATGAGGTTAATTTCCAGACTTTTGTAGTGAAATAATGCATTGGGTTTATGCCTTTTGTTGTGATTGCTGTCCTTCTGCTATAAGGGCCATGTAACTGGAGAATGTGAGGGTAGGCTTGAGAAGGGAATAAATCTTCTCCAGGCGGAAAACGGGACAGATAGCTAATTCTGTGTCCATTCACTTGAAGACCTGATAAGAGCCGCTGCGGAGTGCTGGGGAGGGCTGGGATGGGGCCATGCACCGTGACTGCAGAAATAGCTCTGAGCCCCGTGAAGATGGGAAGCATACTCATTTTACTGAGATGCCTTTAAGCAGTCACATGTTGAAACTCCCCCAAAAAAATGCCTGCAAGAAGCTAAAAGCAATGCTGTTTCCTCTCTCATGCTTTTTTTAAATATAAAAATAAAAATAAAATAAGGCTGACCTTTGCCCACATCCTTTTGCTCTTTTGACAGGTTCTCAAAAGCAATTTATGGTCTTAAAAATGCAGGGTTTGATTTTGGAGAAAATAGAAATTGTGCCTTTTCATGTTTATATAACCATACAGATTAGAGATTCTTAAAGCAGCATACCAAAGAATTTAGAAACACAGTATCCCCAAACTGAAATGGAAAAGCTCAGTGGTCTTGAGTTATCTTTGCTATGAGATATGTGCATCTGATACTCCTTATGATAGGCGATAGGCTGTTTGTTCATTTAAACACCAGTTTTAAAATGGGTTGTCTTGAAACTTGTAGACAAATATCTGCATATAGAAAAAAGGCCCTCTGTATACCTACGTGTATGTGTACTCAAGTACATGCAATCTGTTCTTTTTTTAAATATTTTATTTATTCATGAGAGAGAGAGAGAGAGAGGGAGAGAGAGAGAGAGAGGCAGAGACACAGGCAGAGGGAGAAGCAGGCTCCATGCAGGGAGCCCGATATGGGACTTGATCCTGGGACTCCAGGATCAGGCCCTGGGCCGAAGGCAGACACTCAACCACTGAGCCACTCAGGCATCCCCTAGACAAATGTGTTTAAACACAAACGTGTTTTTAATGAACTTTGAGCTTGTTTACCTTCTTTAAAAATCCTGAGGTTTCACATAAGTTTGGATTTCTGGCTTCTTTTGAGAAATCAGTGATTTGACAAAGCCCACCTTTCCATCTCACATTTAGCCAAAACTGGCTAGTGAGGGCCCTCCCTCTCCCAACCCCCGATGCTTTCCAGTTCACCAGCATCCCCCCCATTTCCTATTATTCCTCATCACCTGGGAAGAGTGTGAGTTGTCATTTTCTACCTCATTCAGGCTGTCTTGTGATTACACCCTGCCTACTGTACGTGTTTATGCCATTCCCCTAACACACAGTAGGCATTCATGTTTGTTACCTTTGCTGTAGGTTTCAG